ACTCTCAAGATGACTATTTGTCACAGTCAGGCTTGACACATGTTTATCTTAGTCACCCATCTAACCCCAAAATGGAGAAACAGGTTTCCAGATATTGACAAAACTTGTATTCAATGTAAATCGGAGTTGGGGTCTGAAGGAGAAAATCCGTAGGAGCCGTGACGAGGATTCGAACCTATGATCTGGGTACTCCCACGCACACGCCTTAGACAACTAAGCCACGACATGGTAAAGGCAGGGCGAGGAGCTCTCAGGGCAGGACTTGGTCAGTAATTTAAAGAGAGAGAGAGAGAGAGAGAGAGAGAGAGAGAGAGAGAGAGAGAGAGAGAGAGAGAGAGAGAGAGAGAGAGAGAGAGAGAGAGAGAGAGAGAGAGAGAGAGAGAGAGATAGATGGAGAAAGAAAGGAAGCAAGAGGAATGGAGATTAGAGGGGGACTTAAGAAGAGAGCTGCAACTTCAAGTCATTAAGAAGTGGGCAAGAAAACGGAAATTAGGTTGTGTGGAGAGCAAGTTACCGCACATCTGGTCAGGAATACCTTACCCAGCCTCACTGTAAGTAGCCGGGTTTCCCGTTTCAAACTCGTTAACAAATTTAAATCATTGCCCTGGTAGAGGTGTATAGATAGAAGGTCTTAATTTCATAAATAAATTCACGAGAATGAACTTATCTGCATCTGGAGTTTTAATTAATACCCCCATTTTGCATACTGATATACAAGACAATCATATCATTATTGCCTTGTCTCAGGGCCTGGTTTAAATCTCATATTACCGCTCCCTGAGTCTCACAGTACTGATCCATGAGTATTGTGGTACTTAACTTCTCCATGAGTATTCATCGAGGGAGTGACTCTTCTGTAAGTGTAAGTGTTGAGGTAACGGATTGGTCCTGTGTTTACCGAACATGTGAATCCAAACACCTGCCGCAAAGTGGATAATACCAAGAACTTGCCCATATAGTATATACGAGTATTGGGTCCCTATACTCGTTTTATATTCTGTAGGGTGGTGGCAGCATATTTACAGAATAAGATTTATAAGTGATTCCAATGTATAACGGGTAATATTTTAAAGTGAAACTGCTTTGTTATTTAACATAAAGTGATAAAGTGGGACCGCCTCGTTCTAGCGTCCACCTCACACGCCCTAACCACTGTTTGGTCCTCTCTTGATGTGTTTGTATGTTGTGATGTGTTTAAGTGGGCGTTGGTGTGCTTGTAGATGTGTGTACGTAGCAGCAGTGCTTTGTTTGGATGCTCACACTTAGGTGTGTGATCTTATGCTTTTGGTGTGTTTGTAGGTGTTATGATTTTTTTTTGGGGGGGGCAAGGTGGGGGGGGGCAATAAAGAGGAGGGAGAGGCACAGGTGAAGGGAAAAAGGTTAGAAATAGGAAATATATTGCGAGTTATGATAGCAGGCGAGCTGTCCGCCTTGCTGGCACGATATCATGATAGTAGTCGAGCTGTCCGCCTTGCTGGCACGATGTGTGGGTGTTAGCAGCTAAGCTAAGCTGGCTCTCTCTTCTTAAGTTTTAGTTTGTGAGTCTGTGTGATGTTTTTCACGTGTACTTCAACATACATAGTCTAGATGAATACTGTGTAGCAGTCACATATACACACTCCGATGCTTCAATACATAGTTTGATGTTCTGTTTGAGGGTCAATATTATTCCTATTATTATTATTATTACTATTATTTTTGTTTTATTTTTTATTTTTTTATTCGTGGGTGGTTGATCTCAGTTTGTCGTCTAGGAATTATGTATTGAGGGGCTTGGTTTCCACCGAGTAGATCCAGACGTGTGTGGGGATGACGTGTGAGGTTCGCTTCTCTTTACGATGGTGTTTGGATGTTCTCTCGTTCGTTTACATGGGTTTGGGGGCTTTTTTATGACTTGTACTTTAGCGCATAAGAAAGGAATTTTTGCTGCATTTGGAAAAATGTAAATGCAATTTTGATGCACACTAGAGCGCTTCGTGGTACCTGCTGTGGAGTTTGATGTGTTAGTAAGTCCATTTAAAAACTAGCTCCTGTCATTAAGCTTGGCCATTTTGAGCTTCCAGTGCTCGACAGCATGTCTCTGTTGCATGAATGCATGCGAGTATGACTGATGAATCTCAATGCAGTTCGTACTCTCCGACCCTAAAGATGCTGCCCTGGGCTTTTGTCTCCCTCTCCCTCCCTCCCTTCTTCTTACCGCCTTCCCTTCCTCACCCTTCCCCTTCTCCCTAACTGTTTTCCCACTCCCCCATTCCTCTTTCAGTCCCTCTCCTCTCCCTCTCTCTCTCTCTCCTCAGCCCCATTCCCTCCCTATTTGACCGCATACGCTTCCGAAAGTACCTTCGATGAAATTCAGAAGAAAATAAGATTTTTGTGCAAAAATCACAAATCATTCGGGTCTAAAAATGGGTAATAGCAACATCATGGAAGAGTCATCAGAGACAATGAGACACGGGGTAATGAGCCGAGGCACGAACCGAGAGAGAGTATTAGAGAAAACAGAAAAACAAAATATCCCAACATCCTGAAGCAGCATTAAGAAAAGCATCATTGTTGGGATTTAGAACATGAAATATTTTGAAAAGACAACAAAACCGAATCCTAATAAGCAGTGAAACTTATTAGGTGATTAAACTACATCTGCTGAGATTATAAGGGAATTGAATTTTTTCTTACCTAAACAGAAAATTACCGAGAGCCCTAACACAAAAGAACTGTAACACCAAGGAAAACCTGGCCCCTCTCCTGGGAGAGGCCAGGGCCCATTTTAACCTTGAACAAATTAGGAGTATCTTATATAGTGACTGGAGCAGGTCTGCGTCGTCAAGAAGCCGTGTAGAGGCCAGTGACTCTCCACCAGCTGGGAGGCCGGGGTCATGAGGTAACGTGTGATATCTCTCATGTTATTGTCCAGGTCTCAATTACTTACCATTTGCCACTATAGGATGGGAGTAGCTTAGGGATTTTTGGTGACTATCATAATTTTGATTAAATATAATCTTGTTAATTTCCATTTTTATGTGTGCCTGGTTGTCCCCCATTGTCATCTCCTGTGTATGTCATCAAGGATGTTGAACCTCCTTGTTAGAACCTGCCAAAATTATCCAGCATTAAATGGTTTAATGTAACTTTCAGTAATAAATTACATCAAAAGAAGAAATCTCTCAGCAGTAATTATTAAAACATTTGGTTGGATACATGAACTAAGTCTACATCGAACCTAAAGTCTTACAAAAAGGGCGCGGTGGTTTTTCCACTTAAACCACTGGCATTCCACTAATTAGTAATCATCAGTACTCCTGTAGTAACGAATGTAATGTGGTGGTGGCAGCCGGTGTTTCTCCTCTGAACTGAGCTTAAGCATTACCATGCCAGTACCAGTGGTTCAGAGCTAGACTAAGACTGACCCCTACAACCATGGAATTAATAGTCAGCAAGATCAGGTTACCCTCAACTGTAATTAAAGTTAATATTTTATAAGGAAATATACTTAAGAGCAGCAGTACCAGTACTTAAGAGCACCTACAGGAGTACAGTGTAACACCTGTATATATATAGGGGAGCCGGTCGGCCGAACGGACAGCACACTGGACTTGTGGTCCTGTGGTCCCGGGTTCGATCCCGGGCGCCGGCGAGAAACAATGGGCAGAGTTTCTTTCACCCTATGCCCCTGTTACCTAGCAGTAAAATAGGTACCTGGGAGTTAGTCAGCTGTCACGGGCTGCTTCCTGGGGGTGGAGGCCTGGTCGAGGACCGGGCCGCGGGGACACTAAAGCCCCGAAATCATCTCAAGATAACCTCAAGATATATAACTAATAATGTAACACTAATATACTTATACTGAGTAACACTTCCTATCGGTTGCACTTGGTAACACTTTGCTATTGAACACTGTATTTATATTTAACGCAATATGAGCTAAACATATGAGGGTTACCGGAACCAAAGGTATCCAACAAGGAAATGCTACACAGGATTAACTACGCTGCCACCATCTGCCTTGTCCATTTACGATATCAAGCAACGAGGAAAGGAACATTGCTTGACTTGGAGAGTACTCTTTCTTTAACTGTCATTAATTATGGGACGGTTGTTAGCAAACTATATCTAGAGGCTAAGAGGATCTAACAGTTGACACAGACGGAAAGTTTAACATGAGTTTATTGAGAACAAAATTATGCTAATCACCACTATAAATCCTACTCTAACACTGGCCAATAGTTAAGAAATTTAGACATGAAACAAAACCTCAGAGATCACACACATTACCTTAAGACCTCTGTCTCTCCATCCGGTGGATTCACTCTGTCTCTCCCTGGCTGTGAGATGTTCTTCACAGACCCACTCTGGACCCTGGTGTCCAGCACTCTCAACTAAGTCTGCTACAGGACCATATATACACCCCAAAAAAGGGGAGGGGGAGATTTACTGGTGCTACCTACACCAAAGATGCATGACGTCGGGCCACACATGCACAAACACTCAAGAATTTTTCTATTAAGCTTGTTTGACATTCACTATACACTCTTCATGAGAGGAATTATTAATTACGAGTGTGGCTGACCTCTGACCTGGCTAAAAGGGGGAGATCCATGAATGTTTACACATAAGAATCTGGGGTCTAATTCCATTGCAATGTTTGACAAGAGTATCATCAAATATTACATACTTGAAACTAGCTGACTAAGACTAACCCAGGAATTTTTAATCAACATACAAGATAATCCAAAGGTCATCTGGGCTGACCTCTTGGAGAAGGCTTCCCTGGGTGTGAACTCTCGGAGGGGGGGGGGGGGGGTGTCATAGGTGTTACAACTGTGGTAACAGGTAGGTTGTGTTACATGGTAGCAGGCGTTACACTACTCTGGAATCCAACACAAAATGCCGTGGCTCTGAAAGCAAAGCTACTGGGAAGTCCGACATTAACTACTGGGACGTCCAACACAAACTACTGGGACGTCCAAGACAAAATTACTGGGACGTCCAACACATAATACTAGGACGTCCAACACAAAACTACTGAACGTCCAACACAAAACTACTGGACGTCAAACACAAAACTACTGGGACGTCCAACACAAAACTACTGGGGACGTCCAACACAAAACTACTGGGACGTCCAACACAAAACTACTGGAACGTCCAACACAAAACTACTGGGACGTCCAACACAAAACTACTGGACGTCCAACACAAAACTACTGGACGTCCAACACAAAACTACTGGACGTTCAACACAAACACAAAACTACTGGACGTTCAACACAAACACAAAACTACTGGACGTTCAACACAAACACAAAACTACTGGACGTTCAACACAAACACAAAACTACTGGACGTCCAACACAAAACTTCTGGACGTCCAACACAAAACTACTGGACGTCCAACACAAAACAACTGGGGACGTCCAACACAAAACTACTGGACGTCCAACACAAAACTACTGGACGTCCAACACAAAACTACTGGACGTCCAACACAAAACTACTGGAGACGTCCAACACAAAACTACTGGGGACGTCCAACACAAAACTACTGGGGACGTCCAACACAAAACTACTGGGGACGTCCAACACAAAACTACTGGGGACGTCCAACCCAAAACTACTGGGGAAGTCCAACACAAAACTACTGGACGTCAAATACAAACTCGGAAATTCTTAATCATTACAAGTTCAAAAAAATATAAGAAAAAACAGCTAAGAACCTAAATATAATATCAACAAGTGATATTAGTCAACATTACATACATATTTGTGCAACATTTTGATTTCAATAAGTCGCTGAATGGTGCTGAAAGTGCTATTGCTCTATGTTGTTAAGCTGTCCCTTTAGAGTATGCCGTGGTGAGCATGCACTCTGCTTCCTTTTATCCTGAATTTAAAAGTTTTTCATGTGTATTTCACTGTCTTTTTCTGTAACTGGAATTTTGATTAAAACTTTCCCAACATTTTTGAGGAAGTATATTATATCCTGTGTGGTCGTCCACCAACATGTCCTCCTACAAATAACGTCACTTTTCGCTCGTATGCGTTACATAAGGCCAAAAAACGTCGTACTAGAAAATGGAAGCGGCTGGCGGAATTGATGTACTGCCCCGTTTTCTGTTTTGGGTCCTCTGGCTTGGTCTGTTAGGTTAGGAGAGACCTCTTTAAATTAATCGTATCCTTGACGTTTTGAAACCTTAGGAGGAAGGGCTGCGCCCAGTGAATTCTGTGTCCCCCAAGGTATTTGTGATAGAAATTCTATTTATTCACAATTTCGTCTGCAGAATGCAAGCTTTTAACCTCTTGAGACATTTTTTTGGCATGTCATTTTTCAGTCCATCCTTCTGTTTAGTTGGTACCTATAGTAACGGTGAGGACCATAGTACATATATGACGTAATGGACAATTAGACAAGTTGAAATCTTTACTATTGAATTTGGACAAACCGGATAAGGTTTTGTATTGATGTTGCAAAGACAACCTAAACTAACTTAATCTTTTTAGGCCTAATACACGCTATCTGAGGCCTAATATAATACATATATGTGCTATACTAGACTTAGGAATAAATAAGTTTGATTTTTGGCCTTTTTTTGGACTATAAAGTGAATAGCACCAAATTCTGTTGTCTAATTGCCTTTTACGTCAATGATTGCACTATGGTGCACAAAGTTACAAAAATACTATCTACACAGGAGGATGGGTTTTATTTTCCTACTCTCCTCAGAAGCCCAAAGATGTCGCTCACTGATCTGTCATTCTCAAGGGGGATCAGAAGCTTGACACATTCAAAGCGATAATCGGATCATGTTGGCTTGGAAAGTTTCTTGCTCCTCCCGCCTTCAGCAGTTCAGCTCCACCTTGGTCCAGCCTCCGTAAAGTTCTCAGATCTCCCAGTCAATCATATCGTGGCTGAGGTCCTTCATGACTAATAATTAAGCTCCAATCTTACTTGCAACTGAAACTATTGTTGCAACTTCTACGGGCTCACCATAGCCCGTATTATTTGGAACTTTTTGTTCCAGGTTGCGAATCTTAAACAACAACAACATGTTGCAACTTGCAACTATTTGTATAATAATAGTAATTTCATTATTGAAATAATGACATTGTCATCTTTGTCATCTCTGGGTCTTATATCATTTAGTGCAAGGTTAGTATCGTTGTTAATATTTGTTGGACGCCAGTTAGTCGCCCATGGACATACACATAGGGTGACCTAATACCCTCTTAAGCTAAACAACTTAATAAGTATCAACAACGTGTCAGCAGATTTGAATGCAATCTACTCTGCTGCAGACCACAGACCTCAGACACACCCCGGGCATCAGAGCGTCTACACGCGCTCCCTTACACACTCTACAAGCTAGTTCGTGGCCCGTGTAGAAGATAAAATATATATATATATATTTATAATAAAACTAAGAAAAAGCAGTGGACGTTTGGTACTCCAATTCCTGCCCACAACCTAATCATTCTACAACGACATCGACCGATGTTACACTGGTTGGCAGCTTAGTGGGATTCACCCCTGTCCTCCAGCAGCACAGCAGCACACAGCAGCGCAGCAGCACAGCAACACAGCAGCTCACAGCAGCGCACAGCAGCGCACAGCAGCTCACAGCAGCTCACAGCGGCTCACAGCAGCACAGCAACACAGCAGTGCGCAGCAACACATCAGCGCAGCAGCGCACAGCGGCACAGCATCGCAACAGTTCAGCGTGCCTGACTCACCCAGCATGCCCCGTGCCTCGTTCACCCAGCGCGCGCCCGTGCCTGACTCACCCAGCGTGCCCCGTGCCTCGTTCACCCAGTGCGCGCCCGTGCCTGACTCACCGCGCGCCACCAGCTGACTCGCCGTGACTCACCGTGACTCAACGAGCCTTGGTGCCTGCCTGACGTCACCTTACCACCCCTCGCTGTCTGGCCTGACGACTCCTGCCGCGCCTGACGTCTCCTGCCGCCTGACGACTTCTACCGCACCTGACGTCTCTTGCCGCCTCCCGGCGCCGACGACGCCGCAGCACGACGCCACAGCACGACGCCGGATCTGTGACGACCAGATCATCTCTGCCCTGTTGAACGGATTGCAGCCCCAGCAGCCTTCAGCTCTAGTTAAGTACCCTTTGTTATTTGTGTAGTAGAGTAAACTGTGGACTTTCGTGGGCACAATGTAAACTTACTTTATGGATAACCGATACTCGCTCAGGCCTCGCTCGCGCACTTACCCCTACAGTCTACGGTCTCGTTCACTATCGGAGAGTAACTTACTCTTAACTAGTGAGCTCCCTACGCTCGCTCGCTTATCCTTAGCCAGTGAACTCCCAACCTCAGCTCTCGGTAGCTTATCCTCATTAACCTCTACAACCAGCAGTGACTCAGTAATCATGACTCAAGCCCTGAATACTGCGGGTTCTAACTCGAACACCGTTACAGTCCTTACACAGTCTGTTGACATTCACCCGTTTAGTGGAAAGGATCCAACCCTCTTGGAGACATGGTTCGCTAGTGTAGAGGCTAGAGCGAGGAGCAAGGGTACTGCTGTCACAGACGCAGACTATATCAGTATGGCGACGTCCACACTTGACTATAAATCTGGAGATGCGTATCTCGTAGCAGGAACACCTGACTTAAAGAAGATTGTAGACTGGGAAGAATTAAAGAAATTCTTTCGTAGGAGATATATATCGGTAGTCGATCGTGATCCCTTTGGCATTGCTCGCCAATTAGCTACTGCGGTAATGCGTCCTGATGAAACATGCAACGCTTTTGCCACGCGTCTAGCTACGCTACAGGACTCACTGGAGAAAGCCTTGATGGGTTCTAGATGGGACGCTAGTGGAAGCCTCACTATACAGAATGTGGGTAAACTATTGGCGTTCGGTGCCATGCAGAGTCATGCCCCCGAGGCCATACTGAAAGACATTGAGGCTAGGAATTTTGGTCCTACCCACACACTTTGGGACTTAATGGACGTCATGGTAGAGTCCACAGACAGGCTAAAGTCCTGGGATTCTGCCCAGCTTTCTGCCGTTTTTCGTGCAAACAGTTCCCATACCACTGTGAACGTTGTCACGCGTTCTACCCCTAGACATGTTCAGACTCGTGCTAGGTCTCCTCCGCCTTCGTATGGCCCCAGGTCATACTCTAGAACAGGCTCCCCTCAATACCTTCAGCGACCTCGAACGCCAGAATGTTTTAACTGTGGCAAACCAGGACACCGTAAGGCAGAGTGTACATCAACTAACACTCGTTACCAACAGCATGCTAGACATAACTACACAGGCCGATCACATGATCACACCCGTTCTTATTGCACATATCACCGCCGACCTGGACATGACACTGCTGACTGTAGAGCCCGCCACGGTACTAACCAGGCTAACCGTTCTAGTCCTACTCCTCCTTCCCGTAGGCAACCGCAGGCTGCAACAACTAACCAGCGCCGACCGAGCCCTACACGTAGCCCTGCGACCCGACCGACTGCCCATGTTAGGTTCGCAACAACTGACAGCCGTGACACAGATGGACACCGTGACTCGCGCGTGATAAACGGCGCCACGGCCGTCAAGGATAATGCAGACACGACCTACGAACACACAGGTCAGCCCTTTGACTCTCAGTCGGGGGAAGGTATAGCAGCCTGGGTAAACGGTATGACGTAGGGAAGCGAGACGACCTCCCTGTATACTCAGTGCCTACCTGTAACAGGTACAGTGCCTTAGCAGAGGAGGATAACATGGACGAACTACACACTGACGGTACTCATGTACATGTACTCCAGACACCACGTCGACTGTGTCAGTCCCGTAATAACATGTTTAACAGGATGCCTATCAAGGACACAGAAGGTCCTCTGATTTCAGCCACCCTGAAGGGTCGACATGTTAAGATTTTCCTAGACACAGGAGCTAGAATCAACATCATTAAACAAGACGCCCTTCATGGCCTACGCGATCGACTCGATATACGACAGTCGTCTGTTTCCAACCTTGGTGGACTTACTGGAGGAATGACTCCAGCGTTAGGTGAAGCGGACATAGAGTTAATAGTTAATGACAGATCACTCACCGTGCCATGTGTAATAGCCGGTGCAGTACGATTCCCTGGAGACATCCTACTCGGATTAAACACCATGAGAGACTACCGAGTTACTATCGATGCTTACCGTTGGGAAGCAACAATTGGTGATACAGTGGTACCTCTTTGCAGTGTGTACACCATGGGACATGAGTTCACCAACCATTGGGACTATGTCAGGTACATACAAACCAGGGAAGACCAGGGTACACTTAACCAGTCACGCCCAAACAAACCCGTCACTCAGTCACTTACTGACACCAGACCAACGCACGTTTCCACAGTCTCGCAGGTCGGTGAGGTCAATGAATCTTTGCAAGGGGCCCCAGCGATTGTTCATTACCTTACTTGCCTGGAGTCTAACATCAGTCAGGTCAGAGGCATCTTACACCAAGACACAGTCTTACATTCTCATGCACTAACAAAGGTTATTGTCAAAATACCTGGTGTATCTGACCTAGAACACGTAATAGCTGACAGTGACACATGTCAAATCAATGGTACCTACATAGAACCGTCCTTACATCAGGTGCAGAATAACACTACTGCTGTTTATGTTGCCAACGTCACCAATGCCAACATTCACCTTGCATCAGGCACACACATTGTTGACTTTGCCCATTATTCGTTACCGGTGCGAGTAG